GGCGGGGCCCTGGTAAGAGCAAGGGCTTAGGATGCTGTGTCCCGCATCCTACCCAGCTCACTGCCGTCATTGGTTGGCATGAGCTGAACGGGATGCTGTGTCCGGCATCCTGCCCAGCTCACTGACGTCATTGGTTGGCATGAGCTGAACGGGATGCTCTGGCATCCCACCAAGCTCCTGGCAACCGGGCAGACCCGGAGCCCCCCCAACCTCCCCACCCTGTGACGTGCACTGTCAGTGCTCTCCTTTAACATCCTTGCCCTGGACCATGCACCACAAAGTAATTCCTCTATACTCCCCCACCCCAACCTCAGACGGCAATCCCTGGTTTAATAAGTCAACGATATCCATGGGGTGTACTTACTTTATCACATGACTGTATGTTTTTAATCTGTGGATTTAGCTGTTTGCCTGCAATATACTACCATTTAGGCTCCCTGATGCATTAATGAGTCGAACCCTGACGGCTGCAGCAGTCACAGAACGTCATCGCCTGTGTCCTGTGACACCTGCAGGCGTAAAAAAGCGAGCGAGTGACACACGAGAGCTCGCTGCTGGTGGAATAATGACCCCCGGCGGGGCAATAGTACGTCTGCGGAGTGAAAACCTGAGCAATTGTTCCAAACCACAGAACATAACGCTGCACTTCATTCAGAGAAATGTTTAAATCGGGGGCGGCATTTATAGTAACACACACAATGTTTAAACTTTGTTGCTATTTTGCTCATTTTTTGCCTCGCTAAAGAATAATTTTTTTTTACAAATTATCCCCAATTCACTTCCATACAGATTTACCAATTAAAACAAAAACATAAAAAAGAAGATTTTAGGCAATCTCAAAAGAATGTTTTTTATTTGTGATCTGCATCACCGATAGTGAAGGTCACAAATAATTTCCTGCAGCTGAAATCAAGTTCTCCTAACGGAAGGAATGTTGGCGAATGAACTTCCGATCACTATGTTTGCCCTGATGAAGGGACCGGGCGCGGTTCCGAAACGTTGGCTGTATTATATGTGACGTTGTTCTACAATAAAAAGAACTTTGGGATTTATTCCATCCTGCGGGTGCTGGTGATCTTCATTGCTATTATCTCTGAACCTTCAGATCGGGCAGCACTGTGTGCAATGGCGAGGAACCCACAGAAACAGGAAGACGTCGGAGTCCCAGCTAAGGGCCCAGAACAAGGCGTATGAACCACCAAAACCTTTGCTTTCTAGTTTTGGATAGAGTGGGGGAGGGTTAGAACGCCCGTTGGGTTTCTGCTGTGCACCTGACTTCCTGTTCCGGTGTTATCAGTTTTTCTAGACAGGAAGTGAGCGTAAATCTGCCACATAGACATAGGAATTCACAAAGTTTCTATGTTCTATGGAATCTGTAGATAAAAAAACGCAAGAAAATGAAAAAAAAAAGTTTTATTCTGTTTTGTTAGTTAAAGGAGAACTACGGGGTTAAGGCGCTTTTCCCCATAGTTCTCCTTAGGGTAACGGGAGGATACAAACCAGCGTCCTACTGTCACCCTAGGCTCAGTATACCACAAGCTGCTGCTCGCGGTATACTGAGACGCCGCAGCTGAAGCGGATCCCGACAATTATGCCGGGATCCGCCCAGCTGCGTGAGTGACAGCTGGCTCTGCCTATCTAGAGGCAGAGCCAGCTGTACCCGCCCCCTCCCCGGTCCGTTCCACCAGTCATCGCTGGCGGATCGGAGAGGGGAATCCAGCCCCTCCCCTGTCACGGCAGAGAGCCGTGACAGGATCGAGAGGTGAGCGAACGCCGGTATGTGTTCCCTCACCTCCCGATCTACTGAGCCGACCTGTGACAGTCTCATTGTCACAGGTCGGTTAGAACTATGAGGTGAGTGGAAATCACTCATCTCATAGTTCTCCTTCAAAAAAAAAGTAATTTCCTGTAGATAAAATGTATCCGACTTATTCTATAATATGTCCGGTCACAGGATCGCTTTTGCCATATTTGCAGAGTGTTCAAGTGCAACGGACACACAATGAACTGGACCCGAGAAGCCACAACACAGGAGAAGATGATGAACGGGGCGATATATTAAGGGCTCGTTCACACTGTAATCGGCCGGCACGTAAGCTCAGTGCTGCGTGCACGGCCGTATGGTGCAGCTCCCGGGAAGGACAGGTCCTGCGTGTGATTAGTACGCAGCCCGTCCTTCTCTATGGGACTACGCGGCCTTACGCCACACTACGCTCACCCCAAGTGTAGGTCCTTAGGTAGGGGTGCATGTTTCCTGGCTCCGACGCAGACAGGATCCATCTAGGGTTGCCACCTTTTCTTCAAGTGAAAACCGA